TCCTGGCTCCTGGGGTGTGCGGCAGGGGACGTTCCTGAGTCCCTGGATCACTGAGGGAAATAAAACATTCAGCTGGGTGCCTCTCTCCTCCCACTCCTGGCCCACTTCATATGCACACACACGTACACACGTGAACATGTGTGTCCACGAACACACATATGTACACACCAACATGCATAAACACAAATACACGGGCCCTTGAATGCATGCACACACATACATGCTAGCACACACATACATGCACACACAGATGTGAATATATGTACACACTGACACATGCATACATGCACTTCACATATGCAGCACATACTCAGGAATTTCTCTTGGATGATTCCATCTTAGCCTAGAAAACTCCACCTCTCTCTCTCTCTCTTTTTTTTTGTTAATCCTCACCTAAGGATATTTTTTCCATTGATTTTTAGGTAGAGAAGAAGGGAGGGAGGGGAAGAGAGATACATCGATGTGAGAGAGACACATGGATTGGTTGCCTCCTGCACAACCCCAACTGGGGTGGGGGATTGAACCTGTAGCCCATGTATGTGCCCTTGACTGGGAATCAGATCCAAGACCCTTTGGTCCACGGGCCAACACTCTAACTGCTGAGCCAAACCAGCCAGGGTTCCACTGTCTATTTAACCTGTTGACCCCTGCAGTCCTCCTCCCTCAGACTGTGTGTGTGACCTCATCACAGTGTCCCCCTCACCTCAGATTACAGACAGGCAGTAGCAGAACCTCCTCAACCACTAGACAGAGCCAGAGTCAACAAACACACACTGTCACCTACAACATGCCAGGCCCTGTGCCCAGAGCATGGGGCTTTTTCTGCCTCATTTGATCCACACAAAAATGTCTGGTGAGGATCACAATCCCATTGTACAGAGCAGGAAGCTGAGGTTTAGAGAGCTAAGAGGTTTGCCCAAGGCTCACTCAGTTAGAGAGGGATGGGACAGGATATACACAGTAAATGAGATAGACTCCATTCCTGTCTGGGGGAAGGAGCACCCAGGCTCCTGGGGAGCCAGACAGGGAACAGTCAACAGAAAATAAAATCAACAGCAAATTCCTATGCCAATGAGCTGAGTCAGAGAATAACAGGAGGGACCTACTTGAAATGGAGAGGGCAGGGACGTCTCTCCAAGAGACGGCAGCCAAGACCATAAAGATAAGAGGAGGAGTTGGTTTGGAAAAGAGAGCCGGGAAAGGCATTTGAACTTGAAGGAACAGCATGTGCAAGCCTTAAGGACCCCCCGAGTAACCCCACAGCAGACTGACATTGCCTTAGCTGGCATTGTTTTATCAGCAACCTCTCGGTCTGTGTGGGGCTTGATACTTGTGCAAGGACACAGTTAAACAGACCTCACCCTTTAAAATTTTTCTAACCAGTCCACCTCCTCTCACCAGGTATTAAAAATGCCAGAAGCAGGGAAACCCCTTGCCCTGCCTCCAACATGCCTTCGGAGTAGTTTGGCTGACACAGCTTTTTTTTTTATTTTAATTTTTTTTTCTTAATCCTCACCCAAGGATATTTTTTCCATTGCTTTTTAGAGAGAGTGGAAGGGAGGGAAGGAGAGAGAACGAGAAAGAGAGCGAGAGAAAAAATCAATGTGAGAGAGACACATTGATTGGTTGCCTCCTGCATGGGCCCCAACAGAGCCTGAGGATTCATTCTGCAACCCAAGTATGTGCCCTTGACTGGGAATCCAACCCGAGACCTTCAGTGCAAGAGCCGACACTAACCATTGAGCACATTGGCCAGGGCTGACACAGCTTTTTTTTTTTTTTTTATCTCCACCAGAGGACATTTTTTTTATCCTCACCTGAGGACATTTTTCCATTTTTGTTCAGGTAGAGTGGGAGGGAGAGAGAGGAAGAGAGAGAGAGAGAGAGAGAGAGACATCGACGTGAAAGGGACACATCGAGTGGCTGCTACCCACACTACCAACCAGGGCTGGGGACAAACTGCAATCAAGGTACGCGCCCTTAGCAGGAACTGAACCTGGGTCTCTCTGGACCGCAGGCCAATGCTCTAACCACTGAGCAAACCGGCCAGGGCACCAGAGGACATTTTTGCATTTATCTTCAGAAAGAACAGGAGAGAGGGAGGGAGGAAGAGAGAGAGAGAAATATTGATGCAAGAGAGACACATTGAGTGGTTGCCACCCACATGACCCCAACCGGAGCCGGGAACAAACTGCAACCAAGGTATGAACCCGGGACTCTCTGGTCCGCCGGCCGACGCTCTAACCACTGAACCAAACTGGCCAGGGCTGACACAGCTTTTTTTATGGGCCTGGGCGAGGGCCTGTGTTTTGCATTCTGGCTATGATGATGAGTTTCCTGCTCACCCCTGGACTGTGACCCCTGGGATATCCACCAGGGTTTCCAAAGAGATGGCCCTTTCCTCTTGTTCCAATTATTTATAATGCATGGCCCTCATCCATGCCAGAGGAAGCCTAGTTTTATTTACATGTCAGTGCCCCAGAGGGCACAGAGGCCCACATGGCACCTTTGTCCCCAGGCTCACTCTGGGCTCCAGCTGGCAGGTCAGGACAGCTGTCACCTGCTTGGAAATCAGAGACTCAGAATTTTGAGGCTGCAAGGGGTGGCATTTCACAGATGGGAAATTGAGGCCCAGAAAGGCCTGGACGTGCAAAAGCCTCCCAGCCTGTGTCAGAGCAGCAGGGAGTACCAAGGGGTCCTTGCCATGTCCCCTTGTCATAGACAGTCTCGCTCAGCAGAAGGGTGATGGGGACCAGATGTTTGCCTAGCAAGGCTGCACAGGGTCTGACTCGAAGCTCTACCACTCCTAAAAACTAAGTGTCTCTCATCTGTAAAAGGGGCTTTCCATCACACTTAACCCAGAGTTACTGGGAGGAGTAACTGCGCTGATGCATATAAAGTACTTGGAAAAGAACCTTGATACATGCTAAGGGTTATCTTTGTGCATTAAATAAATACAATGTATCTATTCACATATACAATAAATATATAAATATGGAAACAGTGGATCTTCTGTCAGAGCTCTTGTTTAACAAGAGGAAGAAAGGCCCCAGAGTTGTTGAGTCACTTGCCCTGGGACGCACAGCCTGGACACACAGGACCCTTTCTGCCCCTGGCCAGTGGTGTGGAGGGGTGTGGCAGGCCGAGGACTCTGTCCCAGGATGGTGCGTTTACTAATGTGTTCCAGGAGACGGGACAACTCCTCTTCCCTCCGCCTCCAAAATTAGAACACTGGGCCCTGGAAGGTGCCCCCAACTCTGGGCTGCTGAACGCTGTAAACGGCCCTCATTGGGTCCCCGCTTTAGAATTAGGAAGGGGCCATAGCACTTGAAGGAAAGTGACTCCTGGGCTGAGGCTGCTCCTCCCAGAGGACTCCTCCGCTGGCTCCTTAGTATCAGGGGACACCAGCCACGTCCTTACCTGGCTCCTCCTGCGTCCTGCTTGACCTTTACTTAAAGACCAGCTGTAGCTGCTGATGGGTTTCCTCGGGTCCCCTGAGGAGACCCTTCAGACAGCTCCAGCCGGGCGCGCTGGAGAGAGCCCCTAATTGGGGCAATGAATCATCGTTCGCGGCTCCCGGCTGGACACAAAATAGATAGAGGAGCCGGCGCGCTATTGTGCGCAGTTTGGGACGCGGGGAGGGGAGGGAAAGGGGGGAGGACAGCAGGGGGAGCGGGCAGAAGGGGGAGGAGGAGGGGAGAGCGCGCGAGGGAGGGATTCCCCGCCCGCCGGTTCCCGCCCGCCCTCCTCCTCCTCCTCCTCCTCCTCCTCCTCCCTCCGCGCCGCCTGCCGCCCCGCCTCCCTCCTCCCCAATTAAATGACCCAACGCTTTGGCAGGCGCCGAGCTCGCACATGCGGCTGCCGCTCCAGCCGCCCGGGGCCCGCCGCCGCCGCCGCCGCCGCCGCCGCTGCGTTCCGGGCGCGCTGGGCGCGGCGCCGCCGGGGGCAGGGCGGGCCGGGGGCGGGGGGGCGCCCCTGCGAGCGGCCGAGCTCCCGCGCCCGCGCCGGCCGCCCGCCGCCAAACTTTGCGGCGCGCACACATGCTCCAAGTTGGGCGCGGCGGCGGCGGCGCGGGCGGGCGCTGAGGGCGGCGCGGGGCGGCCATGAGCGGGCGGCCGGTCTCCCGCAAGCAGCGGCTCATGGCCGCCGTGGGCGAGCGGGCAGCGGGCGGCGGCGCGCCGCTCTCCTGCTTCATTTGCGGCGGCGGCATCGGGCGCGGCAAGGAGCTGAAGCTGCAGGTGAAGCAGCCGGCGGCGGCGGGCGCGGGGACCCCGGCGCAGCCCTTCTTCCCGTTCCTGCAGCAGCAGGAGCCGGCGCCCGGCGCGCGCGAGCTGTCCCCGGCCGACGGCTGCGTGCTGGTGTGCGCCGTGTGCCGCTGCTTCCTGGGCGAGCAGTGGGCCGCCTTCGAGCGCGCCCGCACGCCCGTGGACAAGCGCATGTACTGGCTTAAGCGGCCCCACCAGTGCGACGCGGGCGCGGGCGGGCGCCGCGGGGGCGCTGGGGCCCCTCGCGAGTGGAACGTCGCCTACGCTCTGGGCGGCGCGGCCGACGACGACGACGACGACGACGGTGGCGGCGGCCCGGGTGCCCGAGCCGCTGCCGAAGAGCCGCGAGACTCGGAGCTGTCCGAGCTGTCGGACACCGACCCCCTCTCAGAGCCCGACCCTGTCGTGCGCGACGCCGTAAGCCCCCCCAAGGACGGGGCGCCGGCGGTGCGGGCCACCCTGGGGCCTGGGCCTCGTGGGGGCCGCTGCCCAGAGTGGAGGCCGGCGCCGGGACCCCCTCCTGGACAGAGCATCGAGACTCCCGCACAGGGTGACGTGGAGGAGGAGGAGGGGGACCCCTCGAAGCTCCACGTGGACGGGGAGCCCAAGACTGGCATTAGGCGCAGGCGGAAGGCTGTTGGGAGGCACTGGGTCCCTGAGGCCCGGGCCAGTGTCCTGAGAGGCATTCACGACCCTTGGCAAGGACCTCCCGCCCAAGTGGCCCCTGCAGATGGCATGAAAGGAGCCCCTTCTGGCAGGGCCGCCAAGACTCTGGAGAGCAGGCCCCTTGGGGAGTCCCGTGGAGGCTACTGCCTATCCGAGGACAGTGACATCAACATCACCAGCGAGGAGGAGGACCGAAAGGAGCAACCTCACCCGCGCCCCTGCGCCTCCAAAGAGAAGGAAAACGGTGGCCGAATCCCCCGGGTTCCTCCCGAGAGCCGTGCTGCGCCACCAGAGGGCCTTTGCTGCTACATCTGCGGTTCGGCGCTGTCCCCAGCCTCGCAGCACCAGATCCACGTGCAGAAGCAGGAGAAGCTGGCCCAGGCCCCCTTCTTTCCCTTCCTGTGGCTGCATAGTCCACCTCCTGGGGCTCAACCCATCAGCGAGGGCGGCAGCACCCTGGTGTGTCCCTGCTGCTTCTCCTCCCTCATGCAGCAGTGGCAAAGCTTCGAGCTGGCCAGTGTGCCTGTCCTGCAGCGACTGTATGTGGTGCCTCTGAACAGCCACGCCCCTGGCATGGCCTCCAAGGGCAGGCGGCTCCCGAGGGAAGAGGGCCCACCCTCTGGGACCCTGCCAGAGGCCTGCTACCTCTGTGGGGAGGACTGCACCCCTGATGCCCGGGCAGTGGCCTCCAGGATCCTCAACGGCAATGCCAGGAACACCATGCATTTCCCCTTCCTCAGCCTCCTGCCCTGTCCCCCCAATGCCCGAGGCCCCAACAAGCGCTGTGAGGTCCGTAGCTGCCCCAAGTGCTTCAGCGTCCTGGAGGACATCTGGGCCCTGTTCCGGGCCTGCCAGAATGAGGAGCTCATCACCTCGGTGCAGGGCTTCCTGGGCAGGTACCACCAAGCCTTCCCTGCCTCAGACCCTGCTCTCTCCGAGCCACCCACATCAATCCAGGGCAGCACCGTGTCCATCTGCTACATCTGCGGGACTGAGCTGGGCCCCGGGAAAGAGTTCCAGCTCAATGTGAACCCCTCTAGTCGCTTGGGCGAGAAGGAACCCTTCTTTCCCTTCCTCACAGTTTACCCACCCGCCCCGCGTGCCAGGCCTGCCGACTCCACCGGCCTGGTGGCCACCTGCGTGCTCTGCTATCACGACTTGCTAGGCCAGTGGCTGCAGCATGAGGCACGGAATGCCCACCATGCTGTCAGTGCCTGGTCTCGGCAGTACCAAGTGGACACGTTTGTGTGCTTCTTCTGCCAGCAGGAGAGGAAGCGGTGTCTTGGGCTGAAGGCTGTGAGGGTGGCCCGGCTGCCCTTGTTTCTCTACACCCTGCGAGCGAGCCATAGTCTGCTGGTGGACGACGGGCGGCAGCTGATCATCGGCGCCTGTGTGGAGTGTGGGACCCTGGTGTGTGCTGGCCAAGGGCTTACCCGCCAGGGACCTGTGGGATGGAGCTCCCCAGTGGCAGCAGCAATAAAGGTAAGCAGTGGTTCTCATCTCGTCCTCTGAAATCTGTGCAGATAAAGAAGAGATGTTTTCTGTTCCTCTACCAGGAGAAGTTTAGCACTGATTCTGTGTGGCATGTTCCAGCAGGAGGTGCCCTTCCTGCATCACCAGGCTGGCACTCGGTGGTTATATAGACCTGGCTGGGCTCAGAGGCATATAGCAGGTCACAGGAGTCGGGGGCCAGGAGTGGTCTCGTGGAAGAATAGGGCACTGCTGAAAACAGTGAGCACGGGCCTGAACTTGAGTGTGTTTGCAGCAGAATCTACCAAACAGAGGAAGTTCGGGGCATGTCTGTCATCCGCCTGATAACATTGGTAATTAGTCCAGCCACTCAGGTCACCGAGAGGTCTCCGTACTTACCCGGTTTCAAACACATCAGAGGTGGAAGTTCCTCTTCACTCTAGCTCCCTGGTGGCTTCGCTTTTCCAGAGTTTTCCATCCAAGTTCACACTTTTCCTTTGTGACTCTGGCTGCTTAACAGCAGATAGAAAGATTTCCAGACATGGGGGTTTGGGACCCAGGGGGACAGTGGCCTAAACAGACTTTTCCCCTGGTGGGAAGTGAGTCTTTCTTCTCTGCAAGTCAGCTGTGCAGGAGGAGGCAGGAGGCCTGGCGCTGGCCCTGTTTACAAGGCGCCTGCCTTCACGCTGCCTGCCCAGGAGGAGCCAGACAGGGCTCAGTTCATTTCGGATCCGGCTTTGCAAAGGCTGAAGCAGGAGCTGCCCCTAGTGGGTCAGACGTGGGCATCTGTGAGCTGTGATCACCATTACGGCCGCCCAGGGCCATGAATCCTGATTTCTACCGAGGACAGTGAGACCGGCTTGTTTTAATCAGAAGCCTGTAGCGATGGTTGCTGGCGAAGGGCTAGCAGGAGGATGTGGAGCGGGTAAGGTGGCTGTGGTCTGTTCAGGAATGATTATTCCATCTGTTTGAAAGTTTCCTGGTCCTGCCCCCCATGTGTACATGTGTGTGGTGGTGGCACCTTTAAAGTAGACCCGTCCCAAATCTGCCCACCTCCTCTTATGCGAATGGCCCCATTTCTCATGCTCTGTCCAGGGTTCCTTCTCCACCAATGTTGCTTTGGACTTGAGAGCTGCCTTTGGGGGCTTTGGTGCGATGTCCTCTCATTTTAAGTGGAGGAGCGTATCACCTCTCATTTGTGGTGGGTGGCACATCTGTGCAGCGCCTCCTGCTGGGCACATGAAGAATTGCAGTTTCCAGAAGGACTGGCACTGGGAGAGCTGGGTTTTGGAGCAGCACAGACCTGTGTTCCAGTCTTGTCCTTTCTCTCGGGAACCAAGTGCCTGTGAGTCCGTTTATTATCCTCAATGAACTTGTTTCCTTGGTTGAGGAGTGGAAATCTATGTCACCCGCCTTGTACGCTCATTGTGAGAATTAAATGAATCAGGGAACTTAAATGCTCCCAGGAAGTCAAGTGCTTGGATCATAGTGGGGCCCTCATGTCCACCCAACATGTCGGGGCAGTTTTTTCTGCGATGCAGGTTGATCTTCTGCAAGGCTTTGATTTGCAGTCTGGGTGTGGAGGTTAGGCTTCACGACTGTGTGTCACAGGGTCATCAAAGTGCTGTCGGAGGGGCCTCTCCGACAGCATGTTTTTTGCAGAACATCCAAACTGTGCTGAGTTTTCTCATGTTGATTTGCTCACTCATCAGGATTGATGAGATGCCAACTGTGGGCCTCAACTGACAGGAGCTCGAGGAAACAAAAGAAGCTACAGTTCTCAGTCCAGCTGGGGAGGTGGGAGTTGAGGGTAGCCTGGTGTGGATGAACACGCAAGCTGGTGTCTGTCCAGAAGGGGTCAGCATGAGTTTGGGGAGGCTGAATGTCAGACTAACTTTTGCACCATTTCTAAAGCATCTTTTTTTTTTTTTTTTGCTCTTCACCATGGTCCTATGAGGCCCCATGATGCCCATTTTACAGATGAGTAAGTTGAGACTCAGAAAAGTCCGATGGCCTTGGTAACTATCATGCAACCAGTAGATGGCTGAGGGGGCTCTTGAACCTAGGTCTTTTGACCTCTGCATTCTGTTCATTGGATGGAGTGGGACAAAGCAGGAGAAAAGGTACAGTGGTAAGGAGAAACCAAGCAGCAGGAGTACCTGTGGGTACGGCGGGGGCGAGATGAAGGGGAAGCAATGTTGGAGTAACTAGAAGCCTTGAAATCAGGAAAAGGAAGTTGGGTTTAGGGGAACAATAAAAAGTTCTTATACGAAGGCTTGGAACAGGCCAGGAAAAGGTCCACCCAGGGCCTGGCAGTGGTAGCAATCCAGGTGGGGGTGAGGCCATCAGGCCCGATTGTGGTGGGGGCAGCAGGATGGGTCTCAGCCTCCATTAGACCGGTAGAGAGAAGCAGAGACCCCCACCTGTAAGAGCACCCGATTGCTGGCCAAGAGATGCCAGAAATGCAGCCTCTGCCTTTCCTCCCTCTCCATCCCTCCCTCCCATTCATTCAGCAAATATTTATGGAGTGCCTACTCTGAGCCAGGTGCTGTTCCAGACACGGGGGATTTGGTGGCAAGTTCAGAGCCTTCAGTGTCAGGGGGACAAAGAGTCAACAAAGAATACAGCTTCCGGCAGAGCTGTGAACACAGCCCGAGGATGAACCCCGTGCCAAGCTGGGCGTGGGGAATGAGCCTGCAGGGCTGCGGGAGCCGGGAGCCGGGAGCATTATGCAGGGACTGCTGGGCAGGAACTGTCAGGGCAGAGAGGCAGCTGAGCCACCGGGGAGGTGCAGAGGCTCCACACTGGTTTCCTGTGCCTGCTCCCGAGTCCTTGGTTCTCACATACATATTCTGTCTCTCTCTGGTGTGTGGTTTGAGAATCTGGGTGGGAGTGGCTGGGGCTTTGGAGTGTGGCCGCAGGGAAACCACTTAGCTGGGACGGCATGTTCCAGAACCTCATCTATACTGCCTGCTATAATGCCTCAGCTGTTTCCTGTTAAGCATTTATTCATTAGTGACTCAACTTTAAAGAGTACGAAAGAAAATGTGAGAGAAGGAAGGAAAGAAGGAAAAGAAAGGAGAGTGTCACTGGTGCCCTCTGGATGTGTTTGTGACTTTTCTCTCCAGCTGGACTCCATGCCCCGGAGAGAGCCCCCTGCTCTGTAGTCACCAAGTGTCAGAGCTGGCTGCTTGGATAGGGCTGGGTCAAGGCTGGGCTGGGAGGCTGCAGCCCACCCTTTCAGGATCCTGCACCCCTCCCCCTAGAAGGAACCCCATCATACACAAAGCTCTGCAAAGGTACAGAAAGACCTTGGGGTGGCCCTCAGACAGACCCGGCTTTAATCTTCATTCTGCTGGGAGCTGGTGTGTGACCTTGGGTAAGACGCATGCCCTCTCTGAGCCTCAGTTGCAGTGGAGGTGATCATCCTCTGGAAGGTTTGTGATGTCAGAGGAGCTTACGTGCAGCAAGGGTACCACACGGGCTCGTTCTTTCTCCCTCCCTGAGGTGCTGGGTACTGTGTTGGATACTGTCACCCTCAGGCTCTGATGTTGCAGTTCCTGGCCCCCACCTTTCTGCTGGGGTTGGGGAATGGTTGTTCCTCTCTTCAGAGCTAGTGGGCACAGCTGACCAAGGTGCCGGAGATGGCCCTGGAGACACAATCACGAGGATGATGCCTGTATAGGATGTTTTGCACGTCCCAGGCTCTGCCGCCTGCTTCACCTGTATTCACACTTACTGAGTCCTCACCACAACCCTGTTGAAGGAGGTGCCATGATGCCCATTTCATGGAAGAAAAAGCAAGTCCAGAGAGGTCACGTAATTTGCCCAAGGTCACTCAGCTAGTAACAGCAGGACCAACACTGGACCCAGGAGTCCAGTTCTGTAGTCTGTGCCCCCGCCTGTACTCTGTCTGGCCTTTCTGTCTCCTCCTCAGCTCCAGTTGTGAAGGTGGCAGTGCCCGGAGGGGGGCGGGTCATCATTTTTCTCTGCATGTGCCTCCTTCCACCCCAAAGCAGCTGGGAGGCAGGTGCTATTTGCACGGACTAGAGGCCCCAAGAAGCCTGTTGGCGGGTTCTCTGTGCCCTGTTTCCCCGACCTGCTAAGTTGTGCCCTTTGTCTTCGCTCTCCCCAGCATTGCTCAGGTGTTCAGATTTCAGCTGGGACCTCCTTCTGCTGCTGGGAGAGGCCTGCGCCATCCAAGATGGGTCAGCTGCATGATCGATTTGCTTTCCTTGCAAGCCAGTTGGCGGGCAGGGCGCCCTTCCCTCTTCCAGCTCCGTCTGGAGAGCGTTCTGGGTAATGGAGCGTGCAGCTGTTTACCTAACCGCACCCTGGCCCCTCACTGTGGGGACGCCTCGCTGAGCCCCCCAGTGCAGCCTCTGAGCCCAGAACAGGTGTTGCTGCCGCGGTGCCTTTCTTTTCTCAGCGCTGACATCTGAGGCCTGCAGAGAGCATCTGTCATCACTCGCCTGTCAGGCTCGGCACGCACATCTGTTTCCCGTGTTTCCTGGCTATCTGCGCCCCCACGGCTCCCTGCTCTTCAAGGAGGGCCTGGCAGCTCCTCCTGCCCAGGTCCGGGCTTGCGGGCACCTAGGCAAGGTGATCGATCAGATGGGGGACCTGTGTGGGCTGCCCTGCTGGGCCGACCCTGGCACCCTCTCCCTGGCAGCAGCTGGGAAGTAACTGGGCTCGAGGCCTTTCTCAGGCCCCAGCACCTTCTCCAGGGGAAGGCTGTGCTCTGTTTGCCGGAGGACACTTTCCAGACTCGCCTTGTCCTGAACCTGGAGGCGATTGGAGACAACTGGGAAAGAGGAAGTGGAGACAAAAGGTCTTCAAAACTCAGCCTGCCTTGGAAGCAGGGAAGGGAAGGGGCAGGGCGGGAGGAGGGGTGGCTGTCTTTGACCAGGGCCCGGGTCTGCAAAGCTCTCTGGCCGATTCTCTGGTTAGATTTCCCTGGACCTCACCTTTGACTGTTTTTCAAGGGTTTGTAGGTTCTGGGCAAGTTTGCC